CCCGCCCCGCCCTGCCACACCCCGCCGCGCACACAAAGCAGTTCATGTTGCGCGTAATCAAAGCTGTCTGCCGGCGTTTAGTCGCGAGCTAGTTTATTGGCAACCAAAACGACAAAATGTTTAATTTTTTTATTATTTCAGCATTGCACCGCGGGGTTATTTCGGCGGGCGGTGGCTGGTGGTGGTGGCGGTGGCGGTCACTGCGGTGGTCGGCGGCGAGGGGTGGGCGGGCAGACGACGATGTCCCTAGCGTGCCACGTCCCGCTCCGCCCCGCCCAACCCCACGCCCACACCACCCTGCTGTACCAGTGACAGCCCGGCGGAATTCCAGTAGGGGCCGAAGAGCAGAGAGCGGGGCTGGGCGTGGCGAGGCGTGGCGGGACCCCCTGGCAGACCGCTGGACACGTCCTGATGAGATCTGACACGGCCGCCCAGCACCAGCCAGCCGCACCGCCACATCAGGGCACGCACGTCACGCCTCGCGAGTGTGTGTGTGTGTGTGTGTGTGTGTGTGTTGCGTTAGCGTCACGACTGCGATGAGGAGGATTGTAGCAAATTAGAGCGGAGCGCGTGCGGAGCTCACCAGCAGGGCGGAGCGGGGCCCCGCGGACGAGCAGGGGCTTGGCTTGGCAGGTTGAATGGATCTATTTTTGTCGGGGGTTGTATTCAGCAGAGAGGCTCTTTTTCGCAATTGGTGCAAAACGAGCCAGTGAAACATTAAAATTAAAAAATATAGGGTGGTACCGAAGGGCGAAAATAGGTTTACTATTATTAGACTGTGAATTTTTCGCAGCGCAGACTTGCGGGAAAACAGATTGTTCGGTTTGGCCACGAAGTAGAAGTGAACTCCGTTTGCAAGGCCCTTCTGCTGCACCAGGGCGCGCATCGCTGTCGCCCACGCCTGCAGCAGCGGGAGGGTGGAGAGCGGAGTGCTGCATGAGTCGACTCGATCCCTTCAATCCGGCGGGCGACATCGCTGCGCTCCCGGTCGTGTCGCTGTTGACACAGCGCGGGACATCCAGCCCCAGCCCCACCACCAACCACCACCGCCCGGGCGGATGGGGGCACTCCCTTTCGCTTAACCCGTCCCTCCTATGCGCCGCCGCGCCGCTCGAAGAGCAGGGTCTGCAGGGACCACGCTGCAGGACGCCGCCGCTGCAGCGGGCGCCGACCCATTAGGTGACCACGAGGCCCGCCCCGGGGATGAGGGAAAGGGGGGGGGGAGGGGCAGAGCGGACCACAGCGAGGAACCGCGGGACGCCATTAGCGGCACATGTGTGGACGAACCGCAAACACAGTGCAAGCGATGCGATGCGATGCCACTGCAAAGCCGACAATGAGCTCCCCGCGGCCCCGCCCGGCCCCGCCCGGCCCCCGGCCCCGGACAGCACAAACTGCTGCTGACCAGGCACGTCGCCGCCATTAGTGCAGGAGGCCGGGCCGCGCGCACTCCCCGGGCACCACAACATGATCGCGGGGCCCCGGCGGCACAGCTCGAGGCGCCGCAGGGGCGGGGGCGCGCCGACGAGCACCATACTGCCGGCAAAATACGAATACGTTTTTGAAATAAAACCCGCGAACCGCGCGCGCGCACGGTCGGCGGTACTGCGCCAACGCCACGGCAGGGCGGCTTCCGGAGGAGGGCGTCCGGCACGTCGCCGTCCTGGCGCGCACGTCCCCACCAATCAGCGTGGCATTCTGCCGCCCCGTACAAGGAATGCAAAGTCGTCGCCGCCGTACGCGGCGTGCATCCGACCGCATGTGTCGCGCCACCACCGAAATGAAGTCTGGCTCTCTTGCTGCTCAATATTAATTTTGTTCTTATTTCTTTTCTGGTGAGCTCCGAGTACGAACTCGGGTAGAGTGCTCGTTGTAGGGTGTGCGTCGTGGAGTGGCGTGGCCCGACGCGGCCCGGCGCGACCCGGAGGACGCCTAGGGCTGGCGGCGGGCCCCCGCGGGGACACTGCCGCACGGGCGTGGCGGGGGCCGAGGTGGGGACACCCTTAGCTCAACAGGGTTCCGGCATTCGTTATGGCGCCGCTTGTTTCCCCAAATGACGACGACTCCCGCAGGGAGTCCGCATGCCCCGCCTCGCCCCGTCTTGCCCAGCCACACCCACACGACGCTCTTCAACAACACCACCACCACAGTACTGGTAAAAACAATGCTAACGCTTTCTTTCTGGTTGTAGGGTACTCATAACAGTGACATTGAGCAGTGCCAAGTACCAATTTTAGTGCATTTTAATTATTGCTCTTAATTTTTAGAATTAATAATTCCCGGAGGGCAAAGTGCCCCCCCCCCCCTCTCCACCCTCAATTTCTGAGATTCAGAGGAGCCGGGGATCTGCATGTAAATGCGGAGTGCGGCGGCCGGGGGTGTTTGCGCGCTGGCTGGTGTCGTCTTCAGATGCAGCCGCCCTGGGCTGGGCCTGGGCGCCGGGCTGCCGGAGTGAGTGAGAGAAGAGCGCCGCGCTGGCCGCCGCTGATTGGCTTTCACCAAATGAGTGAGAGGGAGAGGGATAGCAACTGCAGCTTTGCCGAGCGAGCGGTCAGTTGCAGAGCAGAGCCGCGGGGGCAAAAGTGTCGCGAGGTGTCGGAGTGCATGTTTTCGATTTTTTCTGTTGTGATTATATGCGATTGTCATGGAGCTTGTGATAAGTAAGACTATATTCGTACTGTCGAAACAACAGAGTTGCCCATATCTCCACCACGCGTTACCATGCTATCCTTCCTCCAGGAGGACTATACTAGAGGAGGGAATGCCTGCTCCATGACCGACATAAATTTCGCCGTGGCCGGCGGGCGGATGAAACTATCGTTACTTGGAGGTACCGTGCACTGTAAACTTAGCGATTTTTGTGTTGGCACGTCTTTTTAGCAGATGATACCTTAAATAACTTTTAGCTTTTGACTAAACATAAAGAATACATAAGTAACTTTAAGGTGTCAGCAGCTTGTACTCTCGATAAGGGCAGAGAACCAAAGCGCATGACGTCACCCAGATGTATAAGGGGCGCGAGTAGTCGCCGGCCCCGCCGTCCGTTCCCACCAACAATACCCAACAATACTGACCCACGGATGCCGGCCGGCCGGCCTGCTGCCCCCTATCCCCTATCTCTTCCTCTCTGCCATGCCGCTAGTCCGTTGAATTGCAAGAAAGCAATTGCTAAAAGTAACAAACAGCCATAAACAAATAACAGCAAAATATGAGAGAAATTTAGGACACAGACATATCCTTAAATTTGTATCATCTGCTTTCACGATACGTCCCTCGACGTAGCTTTTTTTTTAAGACAGTCTCTCTACCAGAAGGCAAAGTGTATTAGGTATTACACGGTATGGCCTGTTCCGGATGACGCAACGTCGCGCTAAATACGGCCCATTTCACTCCCACGGAACCTCACTGCTCTGTGCTCCAGGTCCTCGTTTTACACGGAACACAAGCCTTTCACCCGAGGCGGCCAGGCCAGAGCAGTGTGTGTGGGTGCGAGGCCGTCACACCCGGCGCAACGGGATCAGGAGGAGGTAGTCGGAGGCGAAGCAGGGCGTTGTTAGGGTGGAGTACCCGGACCGGCCCCGGACACACGTGAGGTAAGGGGCCCCGTGGGGTTGGCGAAGACAAAGAGGGGCTAAGGGGAGGAGGGGGGGGGGAGGAAAAGAGACAAAGTGAAATGCCTCGCGCTGCTCCACCCTGGGTCGGGGCGCGCGGGGGCGGCGCGGGGCCCGGGGCGCACTGCAGC